AAAGAAAGAAAGAAAGAAAGAAAGAAAGAAAGAAAGAAAGAAAGAAAGAAGAACCTGGGCTGTCTGTCAACCCTCAGATGGAGAGTCCACAGCCCCCAGGTCTGGAGGTGGCTTATGAGGAAGAGGAGGAACAACCGAGTCGAGTGCCTGACGCGTGGATGCACAGAAGGCAGAGGAGAGGAGAGCAACGGAAATCTATGGGCCCGTCCTTGGGACGGAAGAGCCACCGCTGCGAGCGAAGCCCCACCCTAGCTTTGGAGATTAAAGGCAGGGGACAAAGATGAATAGATGTGGCAGACAACTATTCACCTCCTGGATGGACGGACTTGTTAGCCTGCGGCGAGAGAGAAACTTTGCCGGGGCTGCCGGCATTCCATTCACGTCAGAGGGTGTGTCGTGTTTGGGTAGCTGGGTCAGAACAGAGCCACCACAGAGAAGGCCCTTCTTCTGGATCCCACCAGGAGGGCCTCCTAAAGAGAGGGGACCAGTAGCCTCCCCTGCCCCCCACTACTCCGGTGGGTGACTTAAGGAAAGGCGGTGTTTCAAACAACCTGGCCTGAAGCCATGGAGGATTTTGAAAGTGGCAACCGGCACCTTGAATTGGACTCAGAAGCAAATTGGCATCCAGTGCAGCTCCCACAAGAGAGGTGACCGCATAAGGCAAATCTAGGCTTGCACAAAACCTTGTAGGTTGCCACATTTTGGACCAACTAGAGCTTTTGGATACTTTCCAAGGGCAGCCCCATGTAGAGGGCATTGCAGTAGTCAAGATGGGAGGTGACTAGGGCGTGGGTTTGTTCGCAGTGGGATGGTTGGTCCAGGAAAAGGGTCGGATGTTCCCAGGGGCGCTAAGGAGGTGGAAGCAGTAAAAACCTGACTCACCTGGACAATCCCCAGAGTTGCAGAGGTGACGGGATCCGAGAAATCCCCACCAGGAGGGGACACCCTATAAAAAAAGGCAAGAGGAGGTTGGTCAAAGGCATAAATCCCAAACAGCTGATGATTTCTCCTGTGAAGACCCAGGGTGTGACACAAAAATAACCAAGTCACAAAAGTAGAATAAATTCCCTTGAATGCCCCCAACTTCGGCCCCAATGTCCAATTATCTTCAACTGGGTATCAAACTCTTCCATAAAACAGTCTACGAAGAAAGTAAATGCTGTCCGAAGCAAAAGTAAAAATAATTAGAAAGAAAAAAACCAACGCAAACCACACTGGAGTCATTAACACGGCAGGGCAGGGTGATAAATTGCAGACTTCCACAAGATAACGCAGCACCCACAATTGGGAGGACACCAAAACCCAGATAAACCTCGACCAAGATGACGCATGCTTTGCTTCCAGCAAGGAGCTGTTGTGCAGGTACCCTGTTCTCCCAGCTGCAATTAATGAAAGGGATCAGGGCCTTTTCCTCTCCCTTAAGCCATGTTGCTCCCTTCTCTGTTCCTCCCTTCATGCCCTAGGATGAAGAGGGGGTGGGCCTGGGTCTTCCTCTGAATGCCCAGCCAGACTGTGCCCTTCCCCCGTTTCTTCCACAGCCACCGGAGCTGCACCCCCACTCCCTGTCAGCTGCTCAATCTTCCCCTCAGAATCAGACCCCAACAAGGGTATGACATCTCCCTCCTACCAACGGCTGAAGTTTGTTTACAAAGCTTTCCCGTCAGCAGCATCCAACGCCTTGATGAGAACATTGAGATTTCAACCCAGCCAATGGTTGGCTTGCAAAAATGAAGAGATCCGTTGCTAAAAGATGTCTAACGGCTCAAAAAGCTTTCTTATGAAGCCTGGTTTCTGCACAGCCTCCCTCCAGCAAGAGACAGGAAACGGAATCTGACCACAACCTACTTCTTGGGAAGCTAGAAAAAAGTGGGCTAGATAGCACCACCACCAGATGGATTCGTAACTGGCTGACAAACCGTACTCAACCAGTGGCCCTTAATGGGTCTAAGTCTACACGGAGGGAAGTAAGCAGCGGGGTGCCACAAGGTTCCGTCTTAGGCCCAGGACTCCTCAGTGTCTTCATAAACAACTTAGATGAGGGAATAAGAAGGGGAACTCATCAAATTTCCAGATGATACCAAGCTGGCAGGAATAGCCAACACCCTATAACCGTGATGGCGATCCTATGGCATGTGTGCCAAAGGTGCAACGCAAAGCCATTTGTGCCGGCACGCGAGCCACAGGCAAACTTACCTCACTGCACATGCACATGCCTCACAGCTGAGTTTCGGCCGGTTGGAGGCCTTTTTCGGCCTCCCAGAGGTTTGAGGAAGGTTTCTGCAGGCTGAAAAATAGGCCTGTTTCATCACGTCCTGGATTTCCAGAAATACCAGAAGTGACAAAACAGGTCTATTTTTCGGCCTGCGAAGGCTTTCCTCAAGCATCTGGGAGGCCGAAAATCAGCTGTGAAGCGCAGTGCAGGTAAGGGGGCGGTGGCGGGGGGGAAATTGCATGCGCATGCGCAGGGGCGTGGTGGGGTGCACACGTTGCCTTCTGGGTGCTGGCACATGAGCGTGCATGTGCAAGTGCGCGCCCAATTTTTGGCATAGGAGCCCAAAAAGGTTAGCCACCACTGCCCTAGAAGTTAGGCTCAAGATCCAGATGGAACTTGACAGACTGGAACACTGGGCCTTATCTAACAAAATGAAATTCAATGTAGAGAAAAGTCAAGTCTTACACTTAGACAAGAAAAACCCAAAGTACACATACAGACTGGGTGAAACCAGGCCCAATAGCAGTAACTGGGAGAGGGATCTTGGAGTCTTAGTGGACAACCAGCTAAATAGGAGCCAGCTGTGTGCAGCCGCCGCCAAAAAAAGCTAATGCAATCCTAAGTTGTATTAACAGAGGGATACAATCAAGATCAAGGGAGGTACTAATACCACTGTGTAAAGCCTTAGTAAGGCCACACCTAGAGTACTGCATCCAGTTTTGGTCCCCACATTATAAAAAAAGAGTTTGAGACTCTGGAAAGAGTGCAGAGAAGAGCAACCAGGATGATGAGGGGACTGGAGGCTAAAACGTACGAAGAACGGTTGCAGGAACTGAGCCTGGCTGGTCTAGGGAAGAGAAGGACCAGGGGAGACAGGAGAGCAGTCTTCCAATATTTGAGGGGCTGCCACAGAGAGGAGGAGGAGGGGGTCAAGCTATTTTCTACAGCACCTGAAGGCCAGACAAGGAATAAGGGAAGGAAACTGACCAAGGAGAGAGATTCAACCTGGAAATAAGGAGAAACTTTGACAGTGAGAACAATCAACCCATGGAACAGAAGTTGCCTTCGGAAGTTGTGGGAGCTTCATCCCTGGAGGCTTTCAAGAAGAGACTGGACTGCTATCTCTCAGAAATGGTGTAGGGTCTGCTTGGGTGGGTAGGGGGTTGGACTAGATGACCTCCAGGGTCCCTACCAATTCTGTTAATCTGTATCTAAGAATCTGGCAACTTACGCTCCAACAATGCTGACGCTTCCCTCTCGCTCAGGACTTCCCAGGCACTTGACACGGCCGGCCCGTTCATAGAAGGATGCCAAGCGGGCGCTCAGGTAGGCTGGGTACCCACTGTCTGCAAAGGAAAAAGAGAGTTTTCGTCTCTCGTGGTTTGGAAAAAGTCTGTGAAAGTTGAGAAGGGAATGAAGACGCAGGAAGATCTGTTCCTTCTGAATGTGGTTCTCAACCTGGACAGCTTTAAGGAAGGCAGACTTCAACTCCCAGAATCCCCCACTGCATTTTGGAAAGCTAAATCAATGCTTCTCGATCTCAGCACCTTTAAGATATGTGGACTTTGTTGGAAGTTTAAACAAACAACAGGTACCTTCTTTCACATGTGGTGGTTGTGCCCCAAAGCCAAAAAATTCTGGAATAAAATAAAAATTTGGCTGCAGGAAATAACAAATGAAAAAATAGAATTCAAACCGGAAACGTTTTTATTAGGGATAATTAGAGGTGAATATAAAAAAGAAATTGAATATTTCATAATACATATTCTGACAGCAGCGAGAATAACTTGTGCTCAAAATTGGAAAGCGGAGGGTAATCCCACAGATAATATGTTAATTGAAAAACTTATGGATTGTGCAGAAATGAATAAGCTTATCATGGAGTTGCAAGAGAAAGAAAAAGGAATTCTATATGGTCTGGGATAATCTATATACTTGGATAGATAACAAGAATAATAGTTTATATATAATGTAAATATGAATAATGTATATATGTATATAGATATGAATGATGGAAGATGGAAAAAATGATGCTACAATGTATTGCAAAAATGTAAACATGATTTGTGTTGTTTTTTTTTATTATAAAACTTTAATAAAAAAATATTTTTAAAAAAAGAAAGAAATGTGGACTTCAACTCAAAATAAGGAAAAACTCTCAGGAACTTTGAATTCCCAAAAGTAAAACTTTATTGGATACACCATTTTGGTACTGAAGAATCAAAACCAGCGCTAGTTTCTTCCCACGCAAATGCTTGCCTGGTCAAATAACAGCTTCCCTTTTTCCCCGCCCCTCAGTGGTCACATTGTCCAATCATGAGACGTCTTTTTGCTATGGGAACAGTCCGTCTCTTTCTCAAGCACCTGCAGCAGTGGCCTTGAGGGTTGCACAGGCTCTCACGGTCCACGCACACATTCTCAGCTTTCTATTTCCCCCTTCCATCCCCCCTCCCAGTTCATTGGTAAGTCAAAAAGCATTTAGGGCTGAAAGAGGCAAAGCGGTTCAAAGTTGACACTCCCAGTATCTCCCATGGGTTCAATGGGAAGGCCAGGAACTGGGTTGAACTGGCCCAGGGGTCTCCAACCTTAGCAACTTTAAGACTTGGGGACTTCATCTCTCAGAATTCCCCGGCCAGCCTGGGGAATTAAAACTGCCAAGGGTGGAGACCAGCCTATTGAAAAGAAGGATGAGGAGTGATAGGATAGCACTCTTCTAATATCTGAGGGGCTGCCCCAAAGACGAGGAGGGGCTCAACCTATTCTGCAAAGCACCGGAAGGCAGGAAAAAGAAACAATAGATGGAAACTAATCAGGGAGAGAAGCAACCTAGAACTAAGGATAAATTTCCTGACAGTTAGAGAATGCTCCAACACTGGAAGTTTTAAAAAAGATGTTGGATAATCGTTTGTCTGAAGTGGTGTAGGGTTTACTGCCTAGGCAGGGGGTTGGACTAGAAGACCTCCAAGGTCCCTTCCAACTCTGGTATTCTATTCTATTCTATTCTATTCTATTCTATTCTATTCTATTCTATTCTATTCTGTTCTGTTCTGTTCTGTTCTGTTCTGTCCTGTCCTCTTCTGTTCTGTCCTGTCCTCTTCTGTTCTCTTCTATTTTCTATTCCTTCATTCCAATATTTATTCTATTCTATTTTAAAAGGAAGTTTTAAAAAATGATGTTGGATAACCCTTTGTCTGAAGTGGTGTAGAGTTTCCTGCCTAGGCAGGGGGTTGGACTAGAAGACCTCCAAGGTCCCTTCCAACTCTGTTATTCTCTTCTCTTCTCTTCTCTTCTATTTTCTATTCCTTCATTCCAATATTTATTCTATTCTATTTTAAAAGGAAGTTTTTAAAAATGATGTTGGATAACCCTTTGTCTGAAGTGGTGCGGAGTTTCCTCCTGCCTAGGCAGGGGGCTGGACTAGAAGGCCTTCAAGGTCCCTTCCAACTCTGTTAATTCTATTCTATTTTAAAATAGCCACGGTGGAGAACACCCTGGTTAGGAAGTCAAAGAAATGTATGGAGAGAAGAAAAAACCAACCTGCAGGCATTTCAGCCAAACGGCCAGAAATCTCACGAAGGGCTTCCGCCCAGCGGGAGGTAGAATCGGCCATCATGCTAACATGGTATCCCATGTCCCGGAAATATTCCGAGAGGGTGATTCCTGGAGAGAGAGAAAGGAAGGATTACAGGAAGATTCCAAAGAATCTTGGCTGATCTTGGAAAAGGTATCAATATTTGGGCAGGAATATTAAATCACCCGAAAGTTTCAGAGGGATGCGACCGTTTCCAGCTACAACAGCGCCGAAAAAAAGTCATTTACAGCCGGTCCTGGCACCTATGACCATCACAGCACCCCTCCCTGTGGTCACATGGTCAAAATTCAGGCGTATCTTTAAAAAAGGTAAAAAGGTGAAAAAGGTTCCCCTCACAACCTACATGCTAGTCCCGTGATAGCAAACCTATGTCACACGTGCCACAAGTGGCACGCAGAGCCATTTGTGCCAGCACATGAGCCGCAGGCAAACTTACCTCACTGCGCATGCGCGCGCCTCTTGGGGGCTTGTAAAAAGCCTCTGCAAACTTTGCAGGCCGAATAATAGGCCCGTTTCATCACTTCCTGTAATACCGGAAGTGACCAAACGGGCCTATCATTCGTCCTGAAAAGCCTTTCAGCCAAAAAAACCAGCCAAAAATTCAGCTGCGAGGTAAGGGGGTGGGGGTGGAGATTGCACACACATCCGCAGGGGACGTGGGGAGGGTGGGCACACATTGCATTCTGGGTGCTGGCACGCTAGTGCGTGCGCACTGGTGTGTGCACAATTTTTGGCACAGGAGCCCAAAAAGGTGAGCCACCACTGTGCTAGTCGTTTCCGGCTCTAGGGAGCGATGCTCATCTCCGTTACAAAGCCGAAGAGCCAGCACTGTCCAAAGATGTCTCCGTGGTCATGTGGTTGGCATGACTAAATACCGAAAGCGCACAGAGCGTTGTTCCCTTCCCACCAAAGGGGTCCCTATTTTTCTACTTGCATTTTTTTTTTACGTGCTTTCGAACTGCTAGCTTGGCAGAAGCTGCTGGGACAAGTTAACAGGAGCTCCCTCCGTTATTCGGCGCTAAGGATTCGAACCGCCAAACTGCCAACCTTTCTGATCGACAAGCTCAGCCTCTTCGCTACTGAGCCACTGAGATCTGTAATGTCACAGGTTCATGTGATCGCCACTTGCAACCTTCCCAGCCAACGGTCAACTCATAAAATATTTCGGTGGTCTTTTTAGAGTTGCCAACAGAAAGGGAGGGGAGAGCAGTTTGGAAATTGAAAGTGCATTCCATAAATGTTTTCAAAGATATTAACTAGATAACTGAAGTTTCTGCCAGACAAAACTCTTAACTGATTGATGACTCTTGGCTATGAATGTGTCCCATTGGAGAATATAATTACTATACACCCAGGGGGTGGGGGAAAACCAGAGTCAAGAGTGACAATGGATTATGTGTCTCAGAGTCGGCTCCACCCAGGCAGTGATTTAAATGGGGTTAAGTGTCGGAATCCTGACACCAACAAGCAAAGGAAATAGGGTGTTTCCTTAACAGCTGCAGTGATTCGCTTAATGACCATGGGGGAAAAAAGGTTGTAAAATTGGGCATGTCCCACTTCACAACTGGAAATTCCAGCCCCAATTGGGTCATAAGTAAGTCATTTTTTCCAGGGCCACATTGTAACTTGGAATGGTCACTGAACAAATGAGTGTAAGTCAAGGACCATCTATAATACAGTGTGAGAATTCAGCCATAAACTATCTTAACAGTTTACCCAGAGATTTTACTTTCTTAAGATAGTTTTAGGGTTTAGCAGTGGGGCATCTGGTGGGGTACCAACTCTGATCCAAAAGAGAATCTTTTAGCAAAAAACAGGGCAATTTTTAATGCATGTAAATTTTAAGTTTTGAAAATTGTTTTGGAAGCCCTTCCCATGGTTGTGGTTCTCAGGCAGAGGTGACATTCATTCGGTTCTAGAGAACCGGTAGCAGAAATTTTGAGTAGTTTGGAGAACTGGCCAATACCGCCTCTTGTTAGGAATATAAGTCACCTAACACAGGGATCCCCAACCTTTTCGACGCCGCGGCCCGGTACCGGCATCAGCTGGGCGCCGCGGCCCGGTACTGGCATCAACTGGGCGCCGCCATCTTTTTTTGATGAAAAAGTGCTTCCGGTGAGCTTTCTACCCGGAAAAGCTCACCGGAAGCACTTTTTTACCAAAAAAAGATGGCGGCGCCCAGCAACCAGCGGCCCGGTAAGAGTTGTTCCGCGGACCGGTATCGGTCCGCGGACCGGCGGTTGGGGACCCCTGACCTAACAGGTATTTGGGTTAGAAATATATAAACCAGGATAGACATTTTAATACTGTCTCTTTAAGGAAATACAAGAGCATGCAATTGGGTGTGGTTTCTCAAACGGCCATAAGATGGAGCCAGAAACCTGGGTTGTCTTAGTCTTAGTCTCAGAAGAGAGTGTGTCTGAGTGAGTATCTCTGTTTCCTTCTGTTGGAGAGTATTGCCATTCCTTCTAATTGACTGATATTACTGGATTTGATGTAAGTCTCATACGGAACTGTTTATGATACTGGAATTTGATATTTGGATTATCCCTGGACTAAAAACTGACTGATCTTACCTGTGAATGACTTTGGACTGCCTATTTTGAACTTTGCTTAAACCTTTCTGGAAGTAAAAACCTACATTTACTGTACAGTGTATCTGTGTACTGTGTTTGTATTAGTCAAACACGACTCTCAAATACGTCTCCCTGTATGCGCTCATCCTCCTAACGGGGAATTACCTCAACACCTCTGACTGGCCCCGCCAACCCCATCTCTTCGCTGCCTCCCACTGAGTCCCAGCTGATCGGCTGGCTCTTCTTTGGTTGCCCTGCCCAGGAGAACGGAGCTGGAAAGCAGGTTAGTGGGGTGAGGGTGGGGAATGGGGATTTTGCAGTATCCTTCCCCTGCCACGCCCACCAAGCCAGACCACTGTTCTCAGGTGTGGGGGTGGCGGGGGGGGGGTGGCGGCATGAAAAAGCCCCTCACCTGTGTAAATTGAGGCTTCCCGAGCAGCCACGGGCATGTTGGAGGTATTGGCCACCAGCGAGGTCCTTTTCATGATGGTTTCCGTCTTCCCATCTACTTCCATGGTGAGCTAGGAGGACGAGAGCCAAAGAAAGTCTTGAGGAGCACCGTGGCTTAATAGCGGCATTGCTCAGCCTGAGCCGTTTTAAGACATACGGACTTTAAACTCCCAGAATTCCCCAACCAGCATGCTCTGCCATTCTGGGAGGTTGAAGGGGACCCTCTGGGAGCTGAAGTTCCCCCATTCAAAGATGCGGAGGTTGAGAAATGCTGAGCCAGCTTTCCAAAATAGAAAGGGGATCTTCTGGGAGTTGAAAGTCCACCCGCCTTAAAATGAATACAATTTGAGAAACACCGCTATCTAATATGCTTATATACAACTTTATATGCTATTCCCAAAACCCAAAACCCTAGGATGATTGTAGAGTTGTAATTGCAGGAATGTCATTATCTTGATGGCAAACCTCAGGTAATGAAGGTTCCAAAGCAAATACAACTCAGGCAAACAAAATCACTAATGCAAAGAAGGATTAGAGAGAGGAAGTAAACATATGTTAGACTTTAACTAGAGATCATTAAGTGTGTTAATTACTATGCTAAACAGTAACGAAAGCTGAGCAGAAACTAAAGTTAACCAATGTTAGAGGATTACTAAAAATGTGTATAAATGTAAGACTAGACTCCAATAAAGTTCATCATGATTCATTTGATCATGATCAAACACCTCGACTGCCTCGTCATTACAACAGAGGATCACAAATAAAAATTGGCATCATGACATTCTGGTCTCCAAATACTTTGCATATCTTTCTTAAAGGCAAAAATAACTATAACAGCATTGGCAGGACCTTGGAGAACCTATACTATTTTAGTAAGTGGCTGTCTAGTTTCTTGTTAAAAACCTCCAGTGATGAAGCCCCCCATGATTTCTGGAGGTAACTTCTGTCCCACTAGTTAATTGTTCTCATTGTTTGGAAGTTTCTCCTTATTCCCAGGTTGCTTCTCTCTGTTCTGTTACGTTTCCATCCATTATTTCTTGTCCTGCCTTCGGGTACTTTGGAGAATAATTTGACCCCCGCTATTCTTTGTGGAAACCCCTGAGATATTGGAAGGCTGTTATCAGGTCACCCCCTAGTCCTTCTCTTCATTAGATTAGACATACCCAATCCTGAAACCGTTCATCGTATGTTTTAGCCTCCGGGCCTTTAATCCTCTTGGTTGCTTCTTCTCTGCACGCTTTCCAGAGTCTCAACATCTTTTTTTAACGTTGTGGCGACCAAAACTGGATGCAGGATTCCAAGTGTGGCCTTATCGAGGCATTATAAAGGGGTATGAACGCTTCATACGATCCTGACTGTATATTATTATTTTTTTCAGCTGATCCACGAGAACTGATAGAAGAGCAGAACTGTGTTCCTTCGAGGTCTCCCCCTTTTCCTTCCAGCCCATGAACTGCCATTTCCATCGACAGGGGGGGCTCCCCAAGATATTTGCACCCAGGTGAAGACCAACAGTGGCTCTGTCAATCTTTGTATTCAGGCTGCTTTCACGTTTACGGATTCACACTTTGCCAACAGATGAGGCGGGGGATAAGGGAGGGAGAGGTCGGAATGTGCATTCCAGACCAATAACAGGAAACCGTCTCGTGGGAACCAAGGACGTTCCAGCAGGTGTCTGCCAGGTGGGTGGAGGTTTTCCCATAATAATACCTGGACATCTAATTGGACCATCTGACCTGCACTAATGTGGGAGAGTGAGGATTCTATGCTTGAACTTGCTCTTATATCCCTGCTTCGCTGAGAAACTGTGTAGTCAGGCTTTTTGGGGGGAAGAAAATAAGGGGATAAATTTCTGCCTCTGCCTACCAGCATCCATTGGTATTCATCTAGCTAGCATCCTATCGGTGTGTGAGAGACTTGAGGGCTGTTTGGAAACTGAAGCAGTATTTGCTGTGTGAGCAAGAAGGAAATAGCAAGGAGCCTGGGCGTGGCTTAGCTCAACTGTTCTGTACTAAAGCCGCTTGGTGTTGTGAAACTAAAACTGAAACTCCTCTGCTTGTGTTTTGCATTTGGAGCAGATTTCTTTTCAGGTGGGGAGGGGGAGTAGAACTCCTTAGCATCAGAGTGTGTTAATAATAATAATAATAATATAGGAAATACTTTAAATGCTCTGATGGTTATTTTGAAAAATCCTTTCTTAGTGAGCACCTAGAAGCCAAGAGGAACCTATGGGCCAAATTTCAAGTTTGTAGGCTTTACGGTTCTGGAGATTTTGTGATGATGCCTAAGTGGTCTTTTGCTTTTATACTGTATATATATATTTATATAGATTATTATTATATTGAATTGCCTGGGAATTATCCAGAGTCAGTTTGGTTTTCATGCTGTGCCAAAACGATGCACTCAATAAAGCTTTGCAATAAGAAATCAGATCATCTCGTCAGTGCTTGTTGAGTTGGGTTCGTCAGTCGGAACCTTGGCAGGTTCTCGCTTAGTGTCCCTGTCATCCTCACCTCGGGAAAGTCCCTGAGCACCTCCGACATCTCGTTTCCACGCTCTCCGCAACCCACGTAGATGATGACATCGCTGTTGGAGTACTTGGACAGAGACTGGGAGATGACCGTCTTCCCGCATCCAAAGGCACCTGGGATGGCTGTGGTGCCACCTTGGACACACCTGGAAGATGAGGGCAGAAGGAGAGACACCCCCACCCCATTCAACTTTTAATGAGACCCCCCCAGAGAGGTTTCACCCAACAACTGGATTCACCCAACCACTGAACCATAAAGAACCAACTATACCCTTGGACAACAGTTTCTCCTGCAACTAGGATTAATTGGTTAAACCAGGGGTCGCCAACCTTTTGGACCTCAGGGACCACCAAACTCATCATTTTAAATCCCACGGACCAGAGACCCTGAGAAAATCCCAAAAAAAGGTCTGCAGGAAAATTCCCCTCCCCGTTTTCCTACCGATCGATCGTTCTTTATTTGGGATTGCAGGATTCCGTCTCCAGCTCCGTTCTCAGGGGGGGGGAGAGAGAGAGAGACTTTTGGCTTCATGCAAGGAAAACAGCAGAAGCCGCAGAAGTCTTTCTTTCTCTCCCCCAAACTCCACCAGAAATGAGTCTTTACCAGTGCAGCCACTTGGAGCAGGAGGCCTTGCAGAGCCCCAAAGACTCATTTCTGGCAGAGTAGGAAGCCTTGGTCAGAACACAGGTTGTAAAAGGGTCATCATTGCCCACCCCTGCCGAAAAGGGATCAACAACCTTTCATTTTCTTACAAAAATGATGGCTTACGGAAAGAGCGCGTCTAGGACCCTCTGGCCGGTAAGCAGTGGATGATTGGCCGGAAGCTTCTCGGACACTGGACGGATCTGCCGGACGGGCCAAACTTGCATCATGGTCAGTTTCTCCTTGACTCCTTCAAAGTCAAGCTCCAAAACTACATCCTTTGGGGGAAGAAAGTCCAGATGAGAAAGGCAAGGAATTATGGGCAGGAAGTGTTTGCCAAGGGTTCAAATCTCGACTTGGGCTCAACTCCTTAAGGAAGCTGACTTGCCTTGACGGATTCGAATTCTGTCCTTAGGACAGTGCTTTTCAACCTTGGCAAGTAGAAGTTATAATGTGGACTTCAACTGCCAGAATTCCAGGAGATGAAGTCCACCTATTTTCAGAGTCTGAGATCGCGTTCTCCCAAGTGGATGGGTGAAATCAACTTATAGAACATAGAATCATACAATTGGAAGGGACCTTGGAGGTCCTCTAGTCCAGCCCCTTGTTCAAGCAGGACATTCCAGACAAATGGCTATCCACGCTCTTCTTGAAAGCCTCCAGTGATGGAGCACCCACAATTTCTGGTGGCAAGCTGTTCCACTGGTTAATTGTCCTCACTGTTAGGAAGTTTCTCCTGAATTCCAGGTTGCTTCTCTCTTTGATTAGTTTCCATCCATTGTTTCTTGTCCTGCCTTCAGGTGCTTTGGAGAACAATTTGACCCCCCTCTTCTTTGTGGCAGCACCTCAAATACTGGAAGATCGCTACCATGTCCCCCCCGGTCCTTCTTTTCACTAGACTAGACATACCCAATTCCTGCAACTGTTCATTGTATGTTTTAGCCTCCAGCCCGCTAATCCTCTTTGTTGCTCTTCTCTGCACTCTTTCCAGAGTATCAGTATCTGTTTTGTATCATGGTAGCCAGAACTGGACACAGTATTCCAAGTGTGATCTGACCACTGTCGGAGTAGATTCATGAACGGGAATAGAGCTTAGTCACAAGGTCAGCCAATGAGAGCTGAGCTGAGGGGCTGAGAGAATCTGGGCCTGGTTTATCTCTCTTCTGGGCTCAGCTCTAATAGTGAAAGAAAAACTAACTTGCTTGCTGAACTAAAGCGAAACGGATGTCTGTTTCTGAGCTCCTGAGTTGCTGTTCTGAACCTGTAACATGTCTGCTTCTGTTGGAGTTTGCTCCACACTGGAGCAATTATCCAGGGCGGTGGCCTAGAGGTGGAGCTCTCGCTTTCGCAATCAGGAGGCTGTGAGTTTGATCCTAGGTAGAGGCAAATATTTGGAATAGGCTCTCCTGCTCAAGCAGAGGGTTGGACTAGATGACCTCCAGGGTCCCTTCCCGCTCTGTTATATTCTAGGATAAATCTACAACTGGCATTGTAAAATTTACTTTTATGCATTTATCAAGAAGTTCAATGAAGCATCCGCCTCTACTTTTCTGGCGCTGAATTTACACTGCAACACTCTGAACAACCACTGCAGCATCAAAAGCGATCCTATCAGAGCCCTGTTTGCTGGCAATTCAGATCTCTTCCTCTGTCAGAAATGGTGGAGTAGGGTCTCCTGCTTGGGTGGGGGGGGGGGGTTGGACTAGTTGACCTCCAAGGTCCCTTCCAACTCTGTTAATCTGTTCTCCTCCTGTTCTTTCCAGCTGGGGCCGAACGATCACTCTGCAGAGAGAGACCACTTACCGAAATGTCGTAGCTCCCAGCTGGGGCCACGTGGGTGACGGTGCCACGGCTTCGGGGGGGCACCATGATCAGATGCTTGATGAGGGAATTTTCATGAACCGCCCCATAAATGTCCCCTCCGGTTAAATGGCTCCCAACCTTAAAACGAAAAGGAATGCTGCTTTAAAAACCCTTTTGGTGCTCTGGAGCAGGGGTCTCCAACCGTGGCCATTTTAAGACTGGTGGACTTCAACTCCCAGAATTCCTCAGGCAGCTTTGCTCTGGGAAACTCCGGGAGTTGAAGTCCACAAGTCTTAAAGGGGCCAAAGTTGGAGACCCCCGCTTTGCTCTACCGTCCAGAAGAAGACCCAACCAATCAGCTGGGACTTGGGAGGCGGAGAATCGATGGGGGCGGGGACAGTGAGAGATGGCATTTGCCGGTATTGTAGTTCACCGGCAGCCTTTGCAGATGGCAGAAGAATCGGACAGTGGGGAAGAATGGGGACCAGTCTGGGAGTCTGGGGAGGACTCGGACGAGGGTCCTGCGTCTGATGCAGAGATGAGGCCAGGGCCATCTGGGAGTTATGTGCTGACACCGGAGCCTCCAGAATCTGACAGCAGCGAGGCCGAGGAACAAGGGGAGCCTGTTCCCAGTGTGCGTATGCGCAGAGCTGCCAGAAGGCGAGAGCAGCTAAGACAAAAGGGGCGACTCAGGAGTAAGGCTTGGAGGTGATTGGCCCCTCCCATGAGGTATAAAGGGAAGTGCAAAGGTAGGAAAATCTTTGCAGGAAGCAATGTTGTTCGCTCTGGTCGGTTTGGAACCTGAAAGCTCCGTGGTGAATTTGTTCTCTGTTTGGTTTTGGAAAGACTAATTGGGACTTTAGTCGTTGGCAGCACTTCAAGTCAGATAAAGGTGCGTTCTTATCAGACATCTCCCGAGGAATTTTGGCAGACGTCCCTGGGACTAATTATAACCGGTTTAAAACTCATTTGGGGCTGTGAATGAGGATAAACCACAGCCATTGAACTAAAATAAAAGGGGTTTGGATTTTATGTGTGTTTGTTGGTATCTCAGGAAGCCTTGGTCAGAACAGCCGGTTCTCCAAACTCTTCAAAATTACCACTACCAGTTTCTCCAGAACTGGTCAGAACCGGCTGAATACCACCTCTGGATCTCAAATGACTCTTCCCTGAGCAGCTGATTGTCTCTTACCCGGATGTTGGAACTCGGCTTAAAGTCCCACTTCAGGTCTCGGGATAAAGCGGAGATGTTGATGCCCCGGGGAATGTAGATGCTCTTGGTAATCTCGGTGATGTCCTTCAGGGGGCGCTGGATCCCGTCAAAGATGGAGCCCATGATCCCAGGCCCAAGAACCACGGAGAGCGGCTTCCCCGTTCGCAACACGGGGTCCCCTACACAGACTCCCGCTACAGGGACGGCTCAGGAAAAAAGAAGGGTGCACAGCAAGGACAAAAGAGAAGGATGGTAGAGTCTCTGGTAGGGAAAGGAGACATTTTGGGGAGGGGAAGGCCACATCCTGGCTTAATCCTGGCTTAATCCTGGATTGATCCTGGTTTAATCCTGGCTTAACCCGTCTACGGAGATTGTCTTGTCAAGCAAGAGCAGAAAGCTGAGGTGCATGAGGGTTTCCATTTTTCTTGAACTTTTGAATTATGTTTTGACAACTAGATTGACTTGGCTGTGATAGAAATGGTTTAAATTTACTAGAAATTTAATGCCAAAAGGTTGTAACTTTTCCTGTGTTCTACTTGTGCTGAAAAAAAAATCACAAGTCAGAACTTGGTTTTCTTTTCTTTGCACCTTTACCTTTGGTTATCCCCCATCTTTCTTGACCTCTGTTTCTCTTTCATTTTTTTTAAATTTTTAAAAATAAACTTTATTAAACATTAAAAGATATATCACAGAGTACAAAACATTTAGTTAAAAATGAAACCAAAGAAAAAACATAACCAATAAACATAAAACATATATATTTCTAATTACTTAGACGGTGCGTTCTTATCAAACAATCTTCTAATAGTTATTTCATGCATCTGGTTAATACTCCTATTATAACCTCTTTATATTTTCCCTTCCTTATCTATTTACTCGCTGGTTTCTATCTTCTATCCAATTATACCAGTTTTCCCAAACTGTATATTTTGAGTCTTCCTTTTCTTTTAATTTTTGTGTAAGTTTATCCATTTCAGCGCAATCGTAGACCTTCTGGATTATCAAGTTATCTGTTGGCATCTGATCACCCTCTGCTTCTCTTTCTATTTCATCTTGTCATAAACGTTAATATACAATTCTCTTTGGAATAAGTGGCTCCTGGCCGGCATGTCATAAAATGAACTCTTGAAAACCTCACCTATAATTCTACCTACTGCACGGAGAGGGGGATCCCGGAAATGAAGAGTTAACAACATTGGACAAGGAAAACGAGACTCCCCCCAGAAGGATACAGGTCTCCTCGTACACCTGGATGGTGGCCTGATCTCCATCCAGCCGGATTATCTCGCCTACCAACTCAAAATGGCCAACACGGACCAGCTCATACATCGCTGCACCCGCCATCTTGCAGGCAATCACCACTGTTGGGAAATTTGTTTTTTTTCAAAAAAAGGTATTTTAGCAGAGAAAATAAGATGCTTGACTAAGCTGCAGAAGAGAAAATAGTCTATTGGAGACAGGATAATCTTACCAGTGTTTCTTCAAGCGGCCACGGTTGAGAAACACAGAGTTTAGCCAGCATCAAAATAGGAATTATCTACATTTCAATTTCAGCCTCCTTCCTTCATCAGGCTGACTTCTGAACACCCCAGCAATAAATTAGCAGCCTCTTAGTGATACTACCCCAACCATGCTTGAGAAGTTGTGCCCAAGTTTTTATTTTAAACAGGTTAAAGGTCCAAGGTAGTATAGTGACATCCTTAATTTTATTTTATTTTTAAAAATACATAAAGAATCTCAGCTATTCTCAGACATTCTCAGACAAATCATAAAAATATGGATTTCTGTAATAGAGTTGTCAAACCCACTGCCCTACCTGATTCAGTGGTCTCAGCTATAAATTTTCACAGTTTCAGTCACAAATTGTCTTCCGTTAACCTTACATCATACTTAAGGGGTCAGTAGAGGGGGTGTGCATAAGTGCACCAATGTGCCTACCATCCCTGTCATTGTATTTTTATTCTCTTACTAGCTCGATGTCCATGCTTCGCTATGAAACTATGTGGTCTGGCTTAGTTTTTTTGGTGGAAAAGAAAATTCTGCCTCGGCCTACCAGCATCCATTGGTGTTCATCTGGCTAGCATCCTATCAGCGTGTGAGAGAGTTGGGGGCTGTTTGGAAACTGACTCATATTTGCTATGTGAGCAAGGAGACAGCAAGGAGCCTGGGCGTGGCTTAGCTCAACTGTTCTGTACTAAAGCTGCTTGGTGCTGTGAAACTAAAACCGAAACTGAAACTCCTCTCCGCTGCTTGTGTTTTGCATTTGGAAGAGATTTCTTTTCAGGTGGGGAGGGGGAGTAGAACTCCTTAGCATCAGAGTGTGTTAATAATAGTAATATAGGAAATACTCTAAATGCTCTGATGGTCATTTAGAAAAATCCTTTCTTAGTGAGCACCTAGAAGCCAAGAGGAACCTACGTGCCAAATTTCAAGTTTTTGTCTATGGTTCTGGAGATTTTGTGATGATGCATGAGTTGTATTTTGCTTAGATATATATATATATATAGAGAGAGATTCTTGTTCTCATTTTTGTTTGACAAATTCCAATAAATAAATAAACATTCATGCAAAGAGCATTATCCTTCTTGTATGGAATCTCTGTTTACCCCCCCCCCCGAAGTGTCTGTTAGATTTATATCTCATCTCAATTTCTCCAAAACCCTCTTAATATAGTATTCTTATATATAGTTTTTTGGATTATAGATTTGATCTTTTTAAACTGAAGGTGGGCAGCCCAGCACCCAAACTGACAGGGAGACTTGGTGGTTTTCTTGCAGACCCAAGCTAGATAACATAATGGACTAGCACTGATGATGTTACCTAGTCTTCAAGAACCACCAAAGTTAAGAGAGCACCAAGGGCCCCACAGTCTTCCTCCTCCTCCTCCTCCAGCCACACTCCCTTCTAGCACTGATGATGTTACCTAGTTGGGTCACGAAACATCCAAACTCACCTGAGGGCAGGACCAGAAAACAGCCAAGCTCAAAGACCACTCAAATTTCCTTCCAGTGTTTCTGGTCTTGCTCTCAGGTGCTTTTCAGAATAGAGATTACAGATTAACAGAGTTGGAAGAGACCTTGGAGGTCATCTAATCCAACCCCCCCACCCCACAAGCAGGAGACCCTACATCATTTCTGACAAATGGCAGTCCAGTCTCTTCTTGAAAGCCTCAAGGGATGAAGCTCCCACAACTTCCGAAGGCAACTTCTGTTCCGTTGGTTGATTGTTCTCCCTGTCAGGAAATTCCTCCTTATTTCTAGGTTGAATTTCTCCTTGTTCAGTTTCCATCTATTATTCCTTGTCTGGCCTTCAGGTGCCTTGGAGAATAGCTTGACCCCCTTCCTCCTCTCTGGGGCAGTCCCTCAAATATTAGAAGGCTGCTCTCCTGTCTCCCCTGGTCCTTCTCTTCCCTAGACTAGCCAGGCCCAGTTCCTGCAGCTGTTCATTTTATGTTTGAGCCTCCAGTCCCCTCATCATCCTGGTTGCTCTTCTCTGCACTCTTTCCGGAGTGTCAACATCCCTTTTTATAGTGTGGTGACCAAAACTGGATGCAGTACTCTAGGTGTGGCCTTACTAAGGCTTTACACAGTGGGATTAGTACCTCCCTTGATCTTGATTTGCATCCCTCTTCTCCGTGACAGCCCCTCAAGCACCGGAAAACAGCTATCATGTCACCCCAAGTCCTATTCATTCCTCATTCTCATTCCCCGTTTTCCCTCTGCAGGTAGTTAAAAGGGGTACTTTAGCTTCTTCGATTCTCAGCCAACCTACCAGGCCCAGAGACGCCATGGACAAACCCCAATTCACTCTCCTTTTCCGCATCCCCGATCTTGGGAAGCTCGGAGAAATCCATCGCTCCTGTAGGTCAGTTAAGGCAGCCGGATCCCACTTCTATGGCTACCGCAAACTCTGTATCAGAGAGGGAGAAAAACCCAGCAGACATAAAATAAAGCAATAAAAACAGGACTTTAAAAGAAAAAGAAAAAACCCTTCTCATTCTTCTTTCGGTGAAGGGAGCAACCCCCCTGAAGGACTCCTAGTTTGTGATTTGGGTGGCCAAGTTTTGGAGCTTCTGAGCCTCAGAAGGTGAGGAAACTCAGAGGCTTTCTAGTCCAACCCTTTGCTCAAGGCAGGAGAACTTATACCACTCCCAGTCAAATGGTCGTCCGGTAACGTTTTGAAAATATTCCAACAAGGGAGCACTCACAATTTCTGGAGGTTTAATTCACTGATTAATTGTTCTTACAGATTAACAAAGTTGGAAGGGACCTTGTAGGTCATCTAGTCCAACCCCCAACCCCCCGCCCAAGCAGGAGACCCTACATCATTTCTGACAAATAGCAATCCAGTCTCTTCTTGAAAGTCTAACTGTCAGGAAGTTTCTCTTAGTTCCAGGTTGCTTCTCTCCTTGATTAGTTTCCATCTGTTGTTTCTTGTCTTGCTTTCTGGTGCTTTGGAGAATAATTTGTCCCCATCTTCTTTGTGACAAATATTGGAATACTGCTATCATGTCACCCCTGGTCCCTCTTTTCACTAAAATAGACATACTAGATTCCTGCAACCACTCTTCATATGTTTGAGCCTCCAGTCCCCTAAATCATCTTTGTTGCTCTTCTCTGCACTCTTTCCAGGGGTCTCCACATCGTTTTTTTATTGTGGGGACCAAACTGGACAGAGTACATCACCCTGAGTCTTGTGAGTGCATAACAAATGGAATTATACAGAATAATGCCCATTAAAGTTTGCTTTTCTTCCAGCCCAGCTTTGCCTTCTCAAGTCAAGGTCATCTTACCATTGGGAAGGTGGAAATTTTTCTAGGAGTTGGTACCACCACTCGGTGTATGCTTCCCTTTCTTCCAGCGGGCAAGTAGGATGTCTTCAGCAGGAACAGAGGGGTTCTGATGGAAGAGTAAACTTGGAGTAAGGGACTTGCCGATCCCTCCAAGCCAGTTCTGACCTGAGCAGACACCCAGGATCTGGAAGGGGCTGGAGGGCACTGGAAGAGAGAGAGACACAGACAAGCTTTCTGGGCAACAGAAAACCACTCCCTGTGTGTGTGTGTGTGTGTGTGTAGTGTAGTGTCAACAACCTGGCCTCCTGTGACATACTTCACCGCAGCAGAAACCCTGACCTTCAAATTCTCCCCTTTAAGGAGCTTTTCCCTACACCTGTTTGTGAAAGAAAACTAACATTTCTGCATGCAGGTATTTCAAGCAAAGGAGAGGTTTGGTTAAGCAGAATGCAGAATAAAAGAGTTGAAAGGGACTTTGGAGGTGGTTTCTTCCCCAAACCCCCAAAACTTTAACCTTTAGACTGTCTACTATTGACCTCACCCCTTTCCTAAGAGGTCTGTAGTGGGCATGCATAAGCGCACCAACGTGCCTACGGTCCCTGTCCTATTGTTTCTTTTATTTATTTCTTTTATTTTTCTTATATGTATCCATGCATTCATAACTATGTTTTTTTTACTTATACCTATTATCTTGTAAGCAATTGACAAAAATAAATAAAAAATAAAAATAGTCTAACCCTCATGTAGAGCAGCAGAATTCTAGACCCTTCCAGACAAACGGCTGTCCAATCTCTTCCTCCCAGCTTGCTGGACCCAGTAAAAAAATTAATTTATTTTGGGGCTCACACAAGATCCTGCACCTTAATCTAATAACCGACTGGATTGCCACGACACGATGTACATACGAGAATCTGATCAAGGTTATTCCTTCTAATCTTCAAAAGCTAATATTTCATTTTTTTTTCCAGTTTCAAAGAAAAAGTCCAAGTGCAAACAAAACTGGAGAAATTCTTCTCTTTAAGATTAGAATGATTTTGTTGTTATAGAAATCCCTGGAGGTTTTCAAAAATAGACTGGACCACCATTTGACCAGGTTTGTATGAGATCCCCTGCCTTGGGAAGGGGTTGGACAAATGACCTCCAACGTTCCTTCCACTGATTCAGTGAATCTAAATGGCTTGAAATGTTTAGAAATGTAGAGCAAAAGGTTTAGGCTGTCATTCTTTTCTTATTCTACTGCACTGAAAAAAATCAGAGGCCAGTATTTTGTTTTCATTCTTTTTATCTCTCTGCACTTTTCTTTCTCTCATTTAATTTGCTGAAGTTCTGTTTGCATTTGTATTTTATTCTACAACACACTTCAATAAAACATGGTGGGGGGGAGGAATGATTTCAGCCAGAAGCAGCTTTTTCTGGTATTGTAAGGCAGGAGGGGGTCACGTTTGGCAGAGATTGTCTGTTCAAGGTGACTCTTAAATCTCCACTGTTTATGGAGACTGTATTAGAGCAAACAAATCCAGTTTTTTCTTACTTACGAACGGGATATTATTATTATTTTTTGTGATTCAGCTGGCATGAAGCCATTTTAGCCACAGGATGAAAGAAAAAAGCTGGTTTCTGAGCCTTGGGCGGCTTTGCATATTTGTGCATTTGCCTATTTTGTAAAAGCATGGAAAAATAATAAATGAGGAGCAGATGATTAGGATACAAACCACAGGGGGAAATGAGATCCTCGCTTTGCAACGACTCAGGATTTGATTGGCATATCACACTCTAGAAGAGACAAGGAGAGGAAGTTTTAATATTTTGCATTCTGATATCTCTATGATTTGTTTAATGTAAATCTACCAAGAGGATCACAGTCAACAGATTTCCCACTTCTGCTTTACTTTCAGTGTTTCAAAGCTTGGCAACTCTAAGGTGGGTGGACTTCAGCTCCCAGAATTCCCCAGTCAGCATGATTTAATTGCATGGATTTCAATTCCCAGAATTCCCCACTCAGCACGATTTAATTGTATGGACTTCAGCTCCCATAGTCAGCATGATTTAATTGTGTGCATTTCAACTCCCTGAATCCCCCAGTCAGCATGATTTAATTGTATGGATTTCAATTCCCAGAATTCCCCACTCAGCATGATTTAATTGTATGTATTTCAACTCCCAGAATCCTCCAGTCAACATGCTTTAAGACAGGTGGATTTCAGCTCCCAGAATTCCCCATTCAGCATGATTTAATTGCATGGATTTCAATTCCCATAATTCCCCACTCAGCATGATTTAATTGTATGGACTTCAGCTCCCATACTCAGCATGATTTAATTGTGTGCATTTCAACTCCCAGAATCCCCCAGTTCAGCATGATTTAATTGCATGGATTTCAATTCCCAGAATTCTCCACTCAGCATGATTTAATTGTATGGATGTCAACTCCCAGGATTCCCCAGTCAACATGCTTTAAGATGGGCGGATTTCAGCTCCCAGAATTCTGGGAGTTGAAGTCCGCCCATCTTAGAGCTGCTGAAGCTGAAAAACACTGCTGTCATTTGTGCCTCAAAGCAAAAATATGAGAGCGGGAAAAACCTCCCCACATGCTCAGAGACACAGGACCAGTACCCCTCTCTGCTCCTGCACACCCACAACTGGAATACCAACACATTTTACACGGAGGCTCCCTAACCACACTGAGCAGGGACTGTTTTCCATGGGGGGGGGGAGAGAAAAGGGCTCAAAATAAATCCTTAGCATTTCCAGGGAAAAAAATAAATGAAAACAAAAACAAAGAGGACTCCAAAAACAGGGCATACTGTCTTGGGAGGCCTCCAGTCTGGAAAGCCACTCTGCACATGCTCAGAGTCTCCCAGATCATTGAGAGATGGGGTGCTCCTCCTCCCACTCCATCAGCTTGTTGTCTCCCTGCATGGCTATTTTTGCCAGTGATCTACAGTGGGCATTAAAGCAGTTGTGCCCCTCGTACTGCAAAGCCCATGCTCCACAGCCCCTGTGCCTGGGAGGGGAGGGGGTCTGAGGTCCACCACACCCCCTAAAAGCAAAGATTTGGGGGCACAACGTGGCCCTCCTCCCAATCATTGCAGCCTGCCCCACCCAGCCCGGGGCCTCCATTGCCTGCCTTGTCTGGGCTGGGCTGCGGTTGCCTAGCAACCAAGCTCTGCATCACTGCAGGGAGGGATCTCTATGACAAGGTAGGCCTCGGGGCAGCTTGCAAAGGTGGGGAAGCTGCCAGACCCACATGCACACTTCCAGGGACGCCTCTTCCTGCATGGGGGGGGGGGGACCGGGGTGGGGGTGGAGCAAGCGTGTATGCACATGGGGCCTTGGCACACTTGTCCCAGCCCACTTGGCACCACTTTGCCCTGAGCAAGAATTTATTTTTGCAGGGGTTTTTCCTCCCCCTTATACCCGAAGCAACATTTTCTATAGAGGATGGCTGCTTTTTTCCCCCCTCCCTTAATTTTTAGCTAGAAAACATGATTGTTGCAATCAATAGATTATATTTTTTTCCTGGCAATATTCCCAAAGCACAGCAATGGTTTTATTTTGGCTTGCCAGTTCTGCAAATTAGCTATTGCATCCCTCCAACCCACTTCATCCCTTGTTTTAATTAAGATATCATGTGTTAAAATTACGTTGCCTGGTTTAGTATGGATATGGTGACTCTATTTTTTAGGGTGGGTGGGTGGGTGGTGGAAATAAAGTACTGATTTGGGTGGGGTGGGAAGGAGCAAATCTGAAAGAGGATAGGATTAAATATATACATATATTGTGGATGTTTACAGATGGGTTTGCAAAGGGAAATTCCAGAGTGAGAAAAGTTTTTGTATTTTCATCTTTTTTTTTTTATTCTTTGAAATTGAATACAATCTTAAAGAAAAAAAGAAGAAAAACTACAGAAAGGTGAATTTGAATAAAAAATATCTGAAATTGAACAGAGCAGGGGAATTTATTTTAAAAAGAGGAAACGGTTTCTTATTTTTCACATGAAGGTAAAAGGTTGCGCATTGTAAAAAAGGTGAAATTTTACAATGTAAAATTTATATTGTGAA